CGACGATGCGACAAAATAGGTGTCCTCCCTAGGCAAAATTGACGTTCCGGACGCGTTGGCGCAGTCCGTTTCGTCATCCGGGGTCGCTCGGACGACGTCGTCGACGATCGGGTCAAAAACGCGTCGAAATTCAAATTTCACAAAAATATTGACCCGCGATCGATTGTTTCAAAAATTTCATTCGAGTCTTCGACGGGTAACAGTGCAAGCGATGTGAATTATGGCGATCGGACGTGTTGGCTCTCCGAATTGCGAAGTTTGTGCGCGCGGGAGTGCGAATTGTGCAGAAGGCCACCCTAAGGCTCAAAAAGGTCCTATAGGGATCCCTTTTGGGTTTCCTCATGTTGGTTTCACCCTTCTAAATGCTAGAAGTCGATACCACACACTTGGAACCACAAAAGAGGACGGAAGTAGGTCAAATTACAATGAGGCGGGCACCACTTCTAAGGTTCTAAGATAGTCAAAGGGAGATCCCTAAGGCTAGATCCTAAACCCTAAGAGGAAAACTAGACCTCACTAAAAATGAGGTCAACAGATGCCCAAGAATCTGAAGCTCTGGCTATGTAGTGGGCTCTCAAACTAGCTATTATCAACAACTGGAAGATGTTATAGATTGAAGTGGATTCCTCTATACTATTGGACTATGTCAGAGGGAGTGCTACTCCCCCTTGGCACATTCTACAGTGGACAAAATAGATCAAATCAATGTGTAATGTATTGAGAGTCACTTTAAAATTCATATATAGGGAAGGGAATAGGCCTGCAAATTTCTTTGCCAGGAGGGAGGGAAATCAGAAGAAGTAATTGTATCATCCTTACCAACCCCCTCTCTCAGTTTTTTGCTTCATGGGGACTTAGTCAAAGCCCCCCACCTTAGAATTGTAACTTCTGTTTGAACTTAATATATTTTCTTCTTTTGTCAATATATATATTAATATATATTTATCTTGCTATTAGTTAATTACGTTAATTATTTTTTAGGCAATAGAAAATAATAGGTAGAACTTAGCCGGATGACCAAACCTCTATCCTTTATCCTAGAATTTTGATGTATAATTTTGAATAAAAGATACATAATATAAGTTAAAAATTATTGGAAGATATATATATATTAATTTCTCAAATGTTTTGTAGTATGCTTTGCTAATTACTGTTAGGCATGTTTTGTATCAACGACTGATGAATTTATTTAAAAGGTTGTGAAAAATGCATGATTTTATTCTATGATCATGGAGACAAATAATTTTCCATTCAATCCTTAAATTTAAACATTAGGACAAGTGTTAGTGAAAATTATATCTGACTGACATGTTTGTCTGTATTACGTCTCATTTTGATCTTAGAGAGTCAAAAAGAGCGTGAAACTAATTTTGTAAAAGCTCGAACTCTCATTTATCAAGAAATTTGTTGCTTTGGTCTAATGGTCTTATGATTTTATCTCATTTTTGTAACTTTCTAAGAGGTCACTCATTCTGAGAGTGCACCCATATAAGCATGGTTAGCTGTGGAGTTCTTGCTAAAAATGCAAACATTAAACGTAAAGGCGTCATGATTTTTAACTGTTTAGCTTCATTCATTTGACAATAGGGGTTTAAAAAGTTAATGTTAGCATTGGCAAATCAGATTCCATAAAGCAATTACTAATATATAAGAAAGTAAGAATTCTTAATAAAAAAAAGGATGTGAATAAAATAGAATTTATAGATTTTGATGATTTATATAATAAGCTTGGCAATAGGTGTTGACAAATTCGATTGATAGGGGCATTAAAATTTTTGTCTATTTCTAGAATTCAATCCTCGTCTATGTCATAATAACTCACACGAAGAGCTCGCGAGACATTTGGACTTATTAAGTCCAAGATTCAAGGTGGACGCATCTCCTAAAACCTTAGCAAGCCCTCTGAGAGCGAAGCAAAAGACAAGATGGGTAGCGATAGCGAGAACGAGATGGTCATAAAGGAGAAAAAGACAGCGATTGCTCTCGCGCCGATAGCCAAACCCCTCGCAAGCAAAAAACTGTGCAAGCCAACTCACAAGCTCATTCGCAGAGCTACTGAAGCTAAATGCGTGAGGAGGGGAGTAAAGGAAGTGGTTAAAAGCATTCGTCGTGGTCATAAAGAGTTGTTCGTGATTCCTGGAAATATTTCACCTATTGATGTAATCACAAACGTCTCCATACTTAGTGAGGAAGCTGACATTCCATATATATATGTTCCGTCACGGGAGGATCTTGCCACATCTACAATAACGAAGAGGCCAACATGCTGCATTCTTGTGATGACAAAGCCAAAGAAGGGGGAGTTGGACCAAGAGGTGCAAGAGAAGCCTACAACAGAATATGAACTTGTTGCGTCTAAAGTGAAGGATTTAACATCAAATCTCTACTAATTTCGGAGGAAGCGAAGTGAGTTGAAACTATTTCACTACTAGTGATTAGGATCGTAATTGATGAAAGGGAAACTCATAGTGTTTAGTTGTAATTTTTATGGATGTTATTTTTGCATGTTGAGATTCAACTGAAATTTGGGAGGACCATGAACAATGCTCTTGTTTTAAAATAATCTTCTGGATAATTGCAACCTTTTTTTCAAAAAAAAATATATAAATATATATATATTAAATGAAATCGGTATTTGGGCACCCAACTATCGATTTTCCATGCATTAGGCCCCATGATGAGAGTCTGCGCCGTGTGCCTAAATATTCGAGAACCCAGCGCCACTGGGGATCGAACCCGTGACAAGAAGTCAACTCTGCCAAACAACAAATCACGGCATGCAGCGCGCACGCACACACACACATACACACATATATATATATATATATATATATATATATATATATCATTTTTTTAATTATGTATTAGAATTGTTTATCTCAATTTTAGATTTTTTTTTTTAGGCAAGAGAAAATAAAAGGTGGAACCAAGCCAGATGACCAAACTTTTACCTATATCATAGAATTTTGAAGTACAATTTTGAATGTATTATAAAAGATTCATTATGTAAGTTAAAAATTATAGGCAGATATAAATTTTTTATAGCATTTCTCAAATGCTCTGTAGTATGCTTTGATAATTTACAGTTCAGCACGCTTTTGTATCAATGACTGATGAGTGTATTTAAGAGATTGTGAAAAAAAAGCATGGTTTTATTCTATGATCATCAAGACAAATTAATTTTCTACTCAATCCTAAATTTTAAACATTGGGACAAGTGTTGGAGAAAATTATATCTGACTGACATGTCTGCCTCTATTACGTCTTAATTTGATCTTAGAGGGTCAAAAAGAGCATGAAACTAATTTTGTAAAAGATCAAACTCTCATTCATCAAGATATTACCAGCTTTGGCCTAATGTTCTTATGATTTTGTCTTGTTTTTGTAACATTCCAAAATGTCACTCATCCTGAGAGTGCTCCCATACGAGCATGGATAGCTATAGAGTTCTAAATAAAATTGCAAACATTACACCTAAAGGTGCCATGATGTTTAACAGTTTAGCATCATTCAATTTGAGGGGTTTCACAATCTCTAATTAAATAACTGACGTCCTCATCAATATCCTTACCCCCAAATCATCTACCAGACAAATAAGATTCTAGAGGTAACCCATGTACATTCAAGAACCAGGTCTCATCATATAACATTTTATCCCATTTAGGGTTCAAGAAATATCTCCCATGATATAGCAATTTGTTCTGTATGACACTTAATTCTTATATTCATGCTGGTGTAATGCTCCGATACAATTTGTGAGAGATCAAACTCTCATTCAACAAGATATTATCCGCTTTGGCTTAATGATCTTACGGTTGTGTCTCACTGGTGTAATTTCCCAGGAGATCAAAGTTCTCACGCACGTGCATGCTTAACTTGGAAGTTTCTGACAAAATTCTAACATTTACAAGCCACTTCAATGTTTAAGAGTTTAAATTCACATTCTACTTAAGGGGTCTCACAAACTTGTCTAGTTTAAAGCCCAACTAAAAGAGACTAAATGTCTTAAAACGAAAAAGAGAAAAGAATTATATAATTATCTCAAACTAATCATAACATGGCTATCAATTAGAAATCCTCTAGTTAAACACCAAAACAATCAAATAGACAAGATAATTTTAACATCATATTAAGAAATCACCTAACAAAAGCGTTCAAATGTGAGACCATGAACTACAAAAGCCAAAAGGAGTTCTTAGAAGCCACAAGCATCACACTTTAGCAAATGCCCATTTCTGCCAACCAAGAGTTAAAATTATTCAGCAAAAGAAATCACCTGGGCAGACATCAGTTCTTTTAGTTCCGCAATAGGTGCTTTTTCACTCCCGTAGCTGCCAATAAAGCAAAGAAGATACTAATGAGCAAAGCTTAGGTAATTACAAGAATTTTAAGTAGGCTTCAAACACACTCATATCTGCAAGTTGCGGAAACCTGGGTGATGGAAACCAATACATCAAGCTTATTAAAAAACGTTTAAATACACTTAACGCCTTATTTTCTACATGGTGCAAAGCCTGTGTTTTAGATCCTGAAAAGCAGCTTGAGCTCCCTTTAATCGAAACTCAATGCCTTTGAGAAGGTAAATTGATAAATCTATGCATTCAACATAATTCAATTTTTGTTTAGATTTCAATTTTGAGATTTTTTATTGGGGGATACCACCAAAGTTAGGCTTCAGTTGAAACAATATTTTAATTATATTTTAGCAGGAAAAACAGTGTTCATTGGATGGCAGCTTTTTCTAATTTTTTTCTTAAAAAATTGTATTGCAAAAGTATAAAAACAATTGTCGCTCAAAAAGCAACTTTTAACAGCAAAAGCAGAGAAGCATAATCAGCCTAAATAAAGCATTTATTCCTACTTGATAAAGGAGAATATTCTTCACAAAGGAGACCACTATGTTCTAATTGATATAAAAATGCTTGCATTAGGCAAATGGTGTTCGCTACATGTTTCTGGGGTGACTGGTCGGGACAGCCTAAAAAAATAAAACAAAAATAAAAACAGAGACAGTTTTGATTTCATAATAAGAAAGAAGCCTAGAAAGACGAAGCATTTGTAGGAGAGAACTCCCCAATGAAAAAGGAGATCCATTTTAACAGATCATATAATTAACTTTTGCAATACCACAACTTTTTTTCATTCTACTTGGTGTATCAATTCGAGTGAATTTCTAGCCCCTTTTTTTCCTTCAACTTGACCAATAAAAAGAATCAAGTTAAATTCAATTTGAAATAAACTCTCACACACAATAAGTTAAATTCAATTTGAAATAAGCTCTCTCTCTTTCACATACACATATATAGTCATAATGAATTAAAAAATAACTTATAAGCAATAAAAACTAATCATACAATCACCAAAAGGACAAATTTCAAAAATTGCATCTTCTTTGTGTAATTTCAGTTCCTATTTTTTGTTAGCAAGTTTATTTCCTTAAAATGAAACTAAATCAAGCACATTTTTAAATATGTCCATGAAGCGTTATGGAAATGGAATTAAAGTCTGTGAAGGTCTAAATGTCCCACCTTCCAAGAATATAGTGAGTGGCAGAGACTCAGTTGTGATAATTCTTGAAGTAAGAGAGTTCTACGTTGTAAATACACTCAAACGGTTAGGTAGCTAAGTGTGTAACCATGAGCACCAAATCAATAAACTTATTGTGACTTCAAAGCTTTCATCTAAACCTTGACATGTAGCAAGGTTTTCAATTAAGTAATTATGACAATAAACATTTAAAATGTTATTCAAGTATTAACTAAATGCCAACACGGGTGTTCTAACAAATCTGCTGCATACATGTTTGTCCAAGTGATATGTGCAGGATGACTTCAAAAAATATAAATTATGAAACTTTGCCTTTCTGAAAAAAAAAAGATAATAGCTGAAAGAACATACCAGATAGTGTGAGGTGTGTCAATATTAATGCCATATATGTTATAAAAATTAACTGTTTCAGGAATCTTGGCACTTGACATAATTTTCCGTGTTTCATTAGCCCACTTCAAAATCTCTAAATTGAAGGGTAAAGGAAATTTCATGCCATCACATGAGACCTGCAAAATGAGCAAAGAAGGTAAGGATTTAAGGAAACAAAAAAAAAACTAAAAAAAGCCAAGTTTGACATTAAATAGTTACTCAATAAATAAACAAAAAACCCGTGCAATCTGATTAAACAGTAGTAATAGTTTAAACTTTTAATCACTTGAAGCACTCTCAGAGGCTTAAATAACAAAACAAAATCAATTACTTGCAGTACATCAAGATTAAATGCTGAAGACAAAATCCATTGGACAACCTGTCATTTAAAGGTTGTCCCACAGAAATGAAACAAGATTCACTAACAAAGAGTTCATTAACATGTAATTAAAAATTTCAATTTACTTGAGTTGTTTTTATTTATTGGGATCATAAATAGGAAATCTCAGAGTAAATTGTTCACTAAATAATTTAGCTCCTTATGAGAAAAAAAATTAAAATATCAAGAAGTTTTAAGGAGTAAATCTTTGCTGTGGTTGGAAGAAATAGTTTGAGGGTATTTGCAATTATTTCCACTTTGAATCAGTAAATCTTTGCTGTGGTTGGAAGAAATAGACCCTAAACACATCGTATTAACAACCATATGTATTATAAGGATCATTGTCCCCACAATGCAAAAGCCAACAAAAACCTAAAAGAATTCACGCCAAAATCTAGGGAGTGACTTCCTACAGACTTACATTGTTGCTCAATAGGGCTTCATTTATTATAGTTGTAACTTCATCTGCTTCGTAAGATTCCAGCAACGCATGAACCTGACCTGAACTGTCATGTCTTCGTCTCCAAATTTGCAAAAGTGGAACATCCTCCCAGCTAAAGCTGACACATCCCATTAATTCGTAAATGGATGGACATTCAATCAGCTACAAATGAAGCAACAATAAGAATCTGATTCACAGTTCTCAATCGTTCCAATTTAAAAGCATGCAACAATTAATGTTAATTATATTTAGGTAAGTTAAGAATAAGTTGCTGACTATAAGTAACAATTAATAGGTAAAGAACCACATCAACAGTTCATAAACCTGTTTTAAACCAACATTAAAAAAAACATAAAAGTTTAACAATTGTGAAAATTTGAGTATTGGTCTAAGGCCAAAGATTATGATGAAGAATTCTTCAACAACAATAACTCCTGTGACAAATTTATTTAGGCTACACAAACCAAAATGTATAAATGTTCAAACATGTATAAGATTTTTACAATATTTAAAAAGAAGAATCGCAAAACCACGGCGATGATAACAAAAATATTGCAAAGGCCATATTATTCATAATTTTTTTAAGGAAAATGATTAACCAGTTTAAAATAACCAAATATATTGCAGCTCTGATGCTAAAAGAGAAGATAATAATTAAATTGATAAAGAGAATTAAGAGCTGTATGGAAGAAGCATAGGTTAAAAAGGTAAAATATAACTATTCCAAATGATCTTATGCAACAAAAATAATTACACAAAAAAACATAAAAATAAAAATAAAAATAAATTGTGGGATAGACGAAAAAAATCTTAGAACTTATCCTATCCAAATCCCAACAGGAATTAACCACTACAAAATTGGATTACTTGCCATTACTAGCCCAGGGATCATATTGTTTTGTTTCTTTTCTGCCATTTTGACACCTAAGGTTCACCTAACGTGATAATCTTATGCCTTTCTATTAACAAGGGAATTAAAGATTATCACCTTCATAGAATAGAAGAATTCTCTAAGACACAGTAAACCTCGATAGATTATCCAATCATTTAGTATAGTATAGAGATATTCAGCCACACCAAACACCATAAAAATTGTAAACGTTATTAACAGGGCAGCCACTGCATACACAGGTAACTAAAATGAAAACAAAAGAAGATTTCAAATTTAGTACCAAGTTACAAATATTTCAACAATTATTTTAATAAATTACTCTAACGGTATTCATGAAGCCTAAACATCATACTCAAAAGTACATGCAAAACAAAAGGCTTCTGTGGCCAATAGAAAACAAACCCATCAAAATAAATGACACAAGTTTGGCAGAGGTAACTGGTCTTCTAAGTCCAGAAAGATCAGACATTTATTGCAGAGAAAAACAGTGATTGGTAAACCATCATAAATATTGATCATTAGATTACTAACTAAAATCCATGATATGAAAGTTCAAGAAGATAACACCACACAGAATAAATGCCATAGAACCATACCAAATGCTGCATGGACAATTTGGAAATGAAAAAATTTTCCTCCCAACCTTGCACAAAAGATGCCCCATTTAAGAAGCTAGTCGTAATATATCCGGGTGCCCCTGTAAGCACAACAAAAAATTAAATCGGAGTAAATGATTTTACAGAAGTGTAGCTACAAAGACCAAAAACCCTTTTTTTTTATGATACAAGAAAAAAAGCTACAAAAAACCAAGCAACATAAATAAAATCACAATCTGGGTTATCAAAGAAAACTATATGGATGTAATCTTTTGCTTATTATCCATCATTCGGGAACATAAACAAAATACTGGACACAATGACATGAAGAAAAATTAGTGTTGCTTGTCTGTAAGAAGCAAAATGGAAAACAAGCATCTAGGAGTATTAGACAACGTTATAAGCTATGGTCCGCTGAAAGGGGTAACAATAGACATAGCAAATGAATAGTAAAAAAAATAGAAAAATAAAATTTTTGAGATGAATAAATTTAGTGACAGGTTTACCGGTATTATATTAATTATTGATAAAGATATTATAAATGTGCTTAGTGCATAATTAAATTTCATAGATTACTACAAATAGATGTCTATAAATAGGCAAGAGAAAATAAAAATACATTAAATAAGAATAACTTCAGTAATGAGAAAATAATACAACAATAAAAAATATAAATTCTTAATATAATGAAATAAACAAATGTGATAATTTAGAAAAGGTAATTCTCCTTTGGAAACTCAAGGTGGCTTCGAAGATATATGAATAATTGAAGGCTTTTTTTGCTTAAAAGTTGCAGCTGTAACAAGAGAATCGCTACTAATATGTGAAAGAAAGAATAATGCAAATTAGAGGAGAAATGTTAACAAGAACTTTGCTTTAGAAGGAAGGACGCGGGAGCGTGTGTGGTGTCCTGCGATCTTGTTTCTATGGGATTCCAACGTCCACGAGTACCACGGCATCCGGATCCCATGATCGGGTGAGGATCAACCGCCGGTTTTATTTTTACTATTTATTTTAGTTGTTATCAAGTTTTCTTCTTTCCTCTATTTCTAGAACTTTCCAATTTTCATATTTTCCAATTAGTTATTTTTATATTATCACTCTTTCTATATGTTGTAGTAGGTTTCGGTATGTAATTTTTTGCTGAGAGATTTCACTTTGAATTCTTCTCTCTGAATTGATGTACCGTATTTCTTTCGCAAGTGATGTGTCTATATCTTGTCGAAGAACAAATGGTGGATCCCCCTCACCGATTCGTGTTGTTTTTAGTAGGGCCAATCGTCAAGCCCCTCCAATTGCTATCCCTCATCATGTCTCACCTCCTTTTCACTCCCACATGTCATCTATTAGCTATTTTCAGCAAAACAAGTGTTGACGCAGCTACAACCTGTTTTCCACAGCAAACAACCTCACGTAACCAATTCTACAACTTTTTTCTAATACCTTTTGTGCTTTATCACACCATCTACGAAACCTAAAATAACAACATTTGGTGTCAGAGCTAGCCAGATGGGGGGTGAATCTCGGTTGGAAGGACGAGACACTAAGCTATCAAAGAAAAATTCTCAACGAGGTGCTCAAGAAATTATCATGGAGGACATGCAGCAAGAAATCCTCCAATTACAGTAAAGGCTCACTAATTTTGAAAAAAGACATCATGGGGAAGTCACCCATAGTAATAATGGTAACCACCTAGGTGAAGAAGATGAAGAAAACTATTTCCACAAATAAGCTTCAAGTGACAGAGCCAATGCCGCACCGATTTAGCATTGAGTATAGAAGGAGAAGCTGATTTAGAGTTAAAGTGGATCTACCAAATTTCGATGTTCACATGGATTTAGACAAGTTTATTGAAAGGCTCCAGATGATAGAACGAGTCTTTGAGTACAATGGTTTTCCAAATGATAGCAGGGTAAAATTGACCGCCATCAAGCTAAAGAAGAGTGTTTTTGTGGTGAAATTTTTTGAAGCTCCTATGCCAACGTGAGAGAAAAAAAAAACTTACTACCAGTCCAAGATGAAAAAAGAAACATAACACAAGTACCTCTCAGCACATTACAGACATGACATGCTCTCGAGGCTTCACCAATTACAACAGCAAGATTTCTTAATAGATGAGTATACAAGTGAGTTTAAGCATCTTATGTTGAAGTGTGAGCTAGTGGAGCCTCAAGAATTACACCATACACTGATATCTTGGGAGATTGAGATTGTCTATTGGGAACATGGTAGAGTTGCATCCATGTTGAACATTACAAAATGTGCAAAACCCTAGCTCTGAAGGTGGAGATAACATCGCATTATTAGGTCTACACCTCCCCTCAAACATAGTTCAACCCCAAGGTCAGGAAGCAGGAGTACACAGTTGAGCATCCCAATCTACCCTACTAGAAGTAAAATAAGTTCAAAGTGAAAACAAGGTGGAGACCTATAATATTTGCAAGTTCGCCTCAGCCAAGAAGTGTTTTAGGTGTCATCATTTTAGACACATTGCATCAAATTGTCTAAACAGAAGAATGATATCTTTCACTGATAAGGGAGACGTGGAGGAAGGAGAAAGTGAAAACTCAGAGAAGGAGAATGAAGAAAAATACCAGCTTGCACTCAACGAAGGAGAGATATTAGTGATTCAATATGAGCTCATGAGAGAGATTCTAGCATAATTATCATTAATTTTCTTAGAAGATAAAGAGTATGAAATGACAGACATTCATACAGAGTTTGCGAATGTGGTGCCACAAAGTACCCTTTTGTAGGCAATAAGAGTAGCATAAGCAAGATAGGCATTGGTTGTCTAAGTGGGTCAAGAGTACGAGAAGCTGACACCAGACACAGCAATCCTAGATAAAAAACTTTCAAGATTTTCAGACATACAGTCAACCTCCTAAATTGACTCTACCGTGGGAAATCCAATATGTCACAAATATGAAAGTTTTGAGCTATTTCTGGAAGGCTATATGAAGTAATATGGGCGTTAAATTATAGTTCAATTCAACAATGTCGTCCCAAATAACTAGCTAAAAAAAATTAATGAGGCGCTATCTCAAAATACGGATGTTTTATAACGAAGAACATTTAACATTGGAATCCAAACCCTTCCAGAGAAGAAGAAGAAACATCTCCTAGCAGAGGAGAATGATGCAGAAACGCAAGTGGGTTCCCGTGATCTCATTTCTATGGGATTAAGTGGTCCGTTGGTATCGCGGCATTCAGATTCTACGATCATGGTAGAAGTCGTTTATTTTTTTATTATTTCTTTTAGTTTTAGCAAGTTTCCTTCTTTCATTTCCTTCATTTCTAGTTCCTTCCTATTTTCTTATTTTCCAATTAGTTATTTTTCTATCAGAAGACTTTTTATTTGTTGTAGCACATTTTGGGATGCAGTTTTGTTGCTGAGTTTCTAAACACAGAGAGATTTTTCTCTGCATTTAGCTCTCTGGGGTGTTGTATCATATTCCTTTCGTAAGTGTTGTACCTGTAGCTTGCCTAGGAACTGGTAGTGGATCCCCCTTACTGTTTGCATCGTGTAGATTCACATTCGACCATTGTTTTCAGCAGAGCCAACCGTCAAGCACCTCCAATCTATTGTCTAGCAACAGGTTTCACCTCTTATTCCCTCCCATGCCATCTATTCACTGCTTTCAACCGAACAAACAATGAAACCAATACATCCTATTGTTCAAAGCAGAAAGCCACCCTTTCCAAGGCTCTAATTAACAGCCCCGTAGCCATTCAAGCCCTATTTCAATCGCCATCCATCCTTTCCATGCCATAATCAATCCTCCAACTTTTTGCAACTGTGCTTTGTCAGACGGTCTAGGAAACCTAGAATGGTGTCCAGGCATAGATACTATTCTTAAATGGAGGTATAAATGTGCACAATTTACAAATATATCGTATTTATACAAAACATCTATGGAGGTGTTAAAAGAATATGCCAACAAAAGTATTAAAAGAGAGCATCAATGGAGTTGCCAACAGAGAGCATCAACAAATAGGTTTGAAAAAGTAGACAGATGCTAGCATAATAAGGACACAAAATGACGACATTTTCGCCACTGGAGAACAAAAATAATTCACCGAAGTATGTAGATAGAAGAGAAATATAGTAAATTAAGTGCCTTAATGGTTGATCAGAGAGAAGATAGTACAATGTAGAGGCTAAAAGTGACCACTCTAAGTTCTCCTCTTAAAAGCAATAAGGTTTTGTAGCAGTTGGAGGATTTTCTGCCACACAACCTCTATGAGTGATTTTCGCAACATTATAACATTTCCTCACAAAAATGTCTCTGGCAATTGTCTCTTTAGTGACATGGTTGGTGCCTAGGTTAAGGTAAGTGAATTGGGATGATGTAGGGCCGAAAAGAAAATTTTAGGGCGGATGGTTTGAAAAATCAACAAGGGAAAAGATTTCTGTGATGAGGTGGGGTTAGGTACGGGTGGATTTGATAACCTTATGATAGGAATAGGATTATGTTAGCTCTAATACTAAATGATATCGAAGTTAACCCAAATAATAATAAGAGCACAAATATTATTACAGAAAAAGCCAAATAGGAGGTTAAACCCAGAACATTGAAATGGAAAACACAACACAATACAACCACACTAGGATTTGATCCATGGGAGGTGGGGGTCAGCTATGTGATCGAAGAGTGGTTGTCGAAGGCTGGAATGGGTTGTGGGGTTGCTGAAAATGGCAGACGGGCTAGAACTATGATGACAGAGAGTTGGAAGGCCTAGAATAGCTGTGACAGCAAAGCAAAGGGCTGGGATAGAGTGGGGCAATAAAGATGAAGGGTTTTGGACTGCAGAACAGCAAGAGTATTGTCTCTAATGCAAAGGCAACGAAGAAGAAGGTGATTTAGGGTGCTAGCAGCAAAGAGAAGGAGAGAAAGCACTATTCGACCCTTGGAGGAGAATCACCGCCTCGGAATGACATACAAAGGGAGCACTACTCACCCTTGGATACAGCCCTATAAGGGAAAATTTAGAGAAGAAAATCGCTGTCCCGACAGAAAACTCATAAAAAACTGACATGAAACATGAAAAAAATATATTTATAGACCTAGGGTGACTAAGGAGTTACCTCACGTTTGAAAGAAAGCACCAAACCTAAGAGGAGGGGTCGATTCTCTCTCCCTTCGCCTGGACCGGTTAGTCCAGGCGTAAGAAAGACGGGATTCCCCACCCACACCTCTCTTCACACCCAAGTCAGTGGGAGAGACACTCTCGCGTCAGCAAAATTAATGAGATGGTTTCTAGAGAATATTAAAATGATTCTAGATCATGGCTCTAATATCACATTATAAAAGAGAATTATGATGGATCACATCTTTACTCAATTTTCTACTTAGACTAAGCATATATGAGGCTATAATAGGCAAGAGAATTCAATAATAAAGAAAATATAAAGTAAAGAAGAAATATTGTCAATGAGGAAATCTTATAATAGTAAATAGTACAAATTTGCAAAAAAGTTAATACATTTTATAATGTAGATATGAAAATGCACCTCGAGTTGATTAGAGTCTCAAGAATTAATTTTCAAAAGAAATAGATAAAATATTACAAAATATCCCAAAGACTGAGAGATATTGAATGGAGATGATTTTAAAAAATAAGATCATTCTAGTAAGATGAATGAGAGGATTCAAAGTATATATGAAATAAAATATTGAAATGCAATACAATAAGTTATAAAACTATACTACAACTCGTAGTAATTGTTTAAAGAATGTAGGGACCAGATGGAGGAGAGTTGTCATCCCATGAATTTAGCAAGATAGCAGGCCAACAACAACGAAAACGAAAGGATACCAACCACATCATCACAAGGAATAATGAGACCAATGGTGTGGTGGCTCACAGTAACAGGATTCGAAAGTAGGGTACCTCAGATTAGTAGGCAAGTAAAACATGTATTTGATAGGCTAGAATTGTGTGAATTTTTTAATTAATAATCTCATAGAATTGAATAGTTCCTTATATAATCTAGGCAGCTCTATGTACAAATACTCTTGAATATATGATAAACAAATAAAGATATTAGCCATTCTCTTATTTTTATAGTATAGCACATGACAATACAATAGTTGATGTATTAAGAATAAGAATAGCATTTAAGACTTTAAATAGTGGAGCATCCAAATCATAATTAACGTTTTTCAAGAAGGAAAACTTTTTTTCAAACAAGAGGAAAAAATTTAACCACACAACATATTGAAATAGTTATGAGTACAAGAAAGCGATCAAATAACATAAATAAGGTCAAGACAGTGGAATGTAAAAGATAAGAAGTTGTTAATTGTTTAAAATAATTTGTTAAGAGAAATAAATTAGAATTCTATAATTAAACTTCAAGTGGCAAAAGATGGCGAGTTCAATTAGAAAGATTGTTGTAGGAGTTTAAAGAGTGGCTGAAATTAATTATGCATAAGAAAACTTAATTCTTAGGTGAAGATGTTAAACGGTCACTAAAGAAAAAAATATACTTTTAAGGAGTGGTAAAAAGTAAATACTGATGAGAGTTAAAATGATTATATGAAACTTTGAAGCGTAGCAAAAAAAATAGTTAACAAAGTAAAAGTTATAGAATTTTGAAGATTTATAGAACAATTTATGTATTAAGGAATAAAAAGAGAAGATAAATTAAATACCTTGATAAGAGATCAAGGAAGATAAAAGTAGATGCCTTAAAAGTGATGATCATAACCATAGTTAAAAGATAAAAACATCAAGAAACAATGAAAATGGTTCTTTAAAAATTTATCAAATGAGAATTTTTGAGAAAATATTTTTTTTGAAAGAACATAGAATATTTAAAAAGATTATAGACTAATTTAAAATCAAAATAAATCAGCTATTATAATAATGAATAGAGAAAAATCATGATGCCCATAACAGATGCCTATAAAGAATTTGAGACAAAATGACTGAAATTATATTAGTCTGGTTAAGAAATATATTTAACATAAACTTGAGGTGTAAGAGACAGCCAATTCATTGGAAAAGTTATTTGATATTAGGTAGTGAAGAAAATTTTTAAGCTTTTATTAATTATAGTAGAATAAAACGTATGTGTCATACAATGAAGTTGGGAAAAAAATAATATAATATAGAATTAAAAATTTTAAGCTGGTCGGAACAAATTTGCTTTCACACTATAAATATTCATTATTAATGTAATGTTTGTACATATAAGAATATAGAAAGAAAAAAGTATATTCATATGATTTATTGATCTTCAAACGTTAATGACTAAGCACCATAAGAATGATCATTGCACTTCAAGGAAAATGTTATACTGAAAATGATTGGAAATTATTAAAAAATATGTAAAATGGAACAATTACTGGTATGAACCAAAGAGTTTCCGATCAAAATAGATTTATATCGAGATTCAACATTATGTTCAAAATTTTTTATCTTGGTTATGTACATATTTTAAAAGACTAACTAAAGTAAAAAACTTTAATGTAGAATTTTTTAAGATAACACGTTCCAAATTGATGAGCACTAATATCAAAATTGGAAGTTTAAACAACAACAACAAGAAGACTTTGTTCCATTAAGTGGGGAAACATGGAAGTGTAAACCAATAAAAAATATTTAGAGGATAAAATGCTTAGAATTAGCAGAATTAAAACTGTGAAATGCGTGTGAAACTTGTGATATTGCTAATCAAAAGATAACAGTATTAGAAGATAAAAATGAAAGATAGGTTTACATACTTATGATTAATTATATAAAATAATGATAATTTAGCTTTATGAGTAAAATACTTATGCATAAAATGGTAAAATCCTCAAAATTACTACTCAATAAAAAGAATATCATGAAGACTTAAAATGCAAATGTTATAAATTACAACTAAGTCAGCCATGTTGAATGGATTGAAGTGTTAGCTGCTAAAAAGATTAGAAATTTTTACATACATGCCAAGGAATTCTTCTGCATAGACATATCTAACACCTAAACTTCAATTTTTACATACATGCCTCAGTATCACTGCATAAAAACATGCATTTCACTTTATCCAAGAATAGAAAAGGGGACATGTATGTAAAAATTGAAGTTTAGGTGTTAGATGTGTATATGGATAAGAATTCTGTGGTATGCATGTAAAAAACCAAAAAGTTATTGATAAACAAGCTAAGTGTAGTGGAATGAGACTTTAATAATAGAGTTGTAGCAAAAACAGCAAGGATATGTTAAGAAATGATTATATCAAAGGGCCTAAGGGAATAACATATAATGAAGATGAGATTGTGAAAAACAAAATATTGATGGCATGTAAAAAAAATGTAAGAGATACACCAATAAGAAAGGTAGGTAAAATTAATGTCAAATAATTAAAGAGAAAATGAGGTAAGCCAAAAATTTTGGATAGATGATTCATAAAGATAAATCCAAATATTTAGCATAAGACTAATGATTATAAGAATGATAAGATTCATTGCCCGCCAAAGTATGTGATTATCACTCCTCAAACAAAAAACAAAAACTGAGAGAAAAATATAAAAACAGAATCCTATTTATCAAAAAAACAAATTCAAAGATGATTATTTTTATTCAATCTCAGACCCATAATCTAACATATCACCAGCTGCAAACGCCGCAAAACTACTCAAATTAGTTAGAAAGGTCTTATGCACTTCAAGTTTCTGCTCTATACAATTTCAGCATATGTTTCTCTTTCTGTTTGTCTAGTGGTTCTTTCACATCACCCTTTCATTATCATTATCACAACACTGATTGAATAAATCAACGGAACATCAAACTTTATATCAACTTCTGTACTCTATTTTAATTCAGACTAACTAGTTAATAGCTAAAAATCCCATAACATGTACGTATGTCACCTTGAAACGGTGCAGCAATTGCTATCCAGTTTTGAACATATTTCTCAAAAACCTGTGCAGTATTGCATTAGTTTGAAAGGTTAGTACTCATTTAAAAGGAAATAGCAAGAGAGAAAAAAAAAAGGCAAAAAAAAACGCAAGGATAGAAAGACAGTTTGACAAAAAAATCGGTAAATCAAAGTCAAATAGCCCAAAGAAGGAACACTTACATCACTATGCAAACTTAGAAAGCATTTTGCCAATAAGCCACCCATGGAATGAGTTACAAGATTCAATTTTCTTCCTCCAGATAATGTGAATATGGACTCTAGTTTCGCAGAAAATCTATCAAGCGTTTCTTGAAGCCTGAAAAAAAATGAAAAAGAAAAAAACTGGTAAATCGAGTACTTCATAAAAAGTTCCAAAACACCTCCTAGGTGTCATTTTCAGAAAGCTGATGTTAATACAACTACGCAATCAGGAAAAAAGAACTTAAAAACAAAATTATATGCATTATACTAAGCGTGGATGCATACATAGTATCGGACAGGAGACGTCAGTGTACCCGCACCCATAGAAATTATACTATTACCCCGTACAATTGTGATGTTTAGATCACTAATTGTTATGCCAACTGAAGAGTATCAGCCAGGGGCAAGTAGTCACATTTCCATCTGAGACAATCATATAATTTAAATCACGAACCGTTTTGCCGACGAGATAATTCAGTCAAGGATGTGTTAGGTTATATTTTGACGGTGTTCCTAAGATGGATGTTAAAGTTAAGAGTGTAAAATAAAAGTTAAGTTAAAAGACTGAACTTTGGAAAATAAAGACAAATTTAAAGCATACAAAATTTTAGATTATTTCTATTGAGCAAATTTCAAGAATACATACAATGAATTATTATATGGATTTTTATAATGAAATATGAAAAATCAGGATGCATGTTTTTTTTTTCTCAGATTGTTGTAATTTAGAAATGTGATTACTTTACCATGTTATCTTAAATAACTCGTTATGTAGTTTTAATATTTTTCCAGGTTTTAAGCTTTTGAATGAGAGAGATACTAGAGGAGTTAATTTGTACATGAAGCGAGATCAACAACAAAGGGTGAACTTTTATTTGTTGATTAAAATGCTATTTTTAGTGGCACTTTTAATTAATATGTGAATATTAAATTATTAATAATAGAAATAAAATAATAGAAAACTTAATTTCATCATCCGACTGTCTGTTCCCGTCTTAGTTAATTCTAAGCCCCGGACTGGGTTGTGATAAAGTTTGATGGCAAGCTAATAAAAATAAATTACTAAAAAATCAAATAAACTAATAATTTGAATAATGTTAAAGGGAATAAGTGGTTATCTCTCCCTCTTCGTTCTTTGCTTTACAGATTGGGTCCCGACAAATATGATACAATTATTAAATAGAAAGGAACGAGACACATCATCTAAAAATAAATATGTATGCACCATAATTAAAAAAACAAAAGAATTTTCACACAATTTTGTTGACGAAAAAATAAAAATTGAGAAAGCAATGTAATTTAACATTTTATTTTTTATGAGAAAACATACACAAAATAATTTTGCATTAAAACACAAGATACTTTAAAAGACATTTGAAATAATAACAAATGCAATAAAGTGCACGTACCTATTACTTTGTCGAAAGTCATATCCAAATCCAAATAGAGTTTTACCCTCTTGGTATCCCCATTTCAGCATCTCCTCTATCATGTCATGATAATAGTAGACGCATTCACCTCCAATTATCTGCAAATAAAATATCAAGATAGGATTACAGCATTTAACTTAGGACATGTTTGGTTCACTATTATTAAGATGCTAAACTTAATCGAATAATATGTTTTTGGTTAAATGATATTACAAAGAGAAGTAAATGTTATATATACTAAAAAAACATTAATAGTATACTTCAAATGTCATAACATTAGATGTCTCCTAATTTGACCATAATCTAATATTAGTAAAAGTAATAAAAATTATCTTTTATTAAATTTTAATTAAACATATTAGTGAATAAACAATTGATCTTTTTTTTTTAAAAAAAGGCATTAAAAACATCACCAAATAAAACAATACCTGATTAGAATATTTTTTAAGTATACAACTTTTTAAAAAAAGCATACACTATGATTTTCCTTATTATCTGTTTGTTTTCCATCCAAAAATAATATTTAACGACCATAACGAAATAGTCATTTCTCTTGTAAAATATAAGGATTTATTGGGATCTTTTTTATTTTCTTTTATTTTTTGTTTTTCGAAAACAAAATAAATAAATAATAAATTAATTTTATTTTAATTTTTAAATAAATTGATTTATTCTGTAATTTTCACTAAGATTAATGCTACCATAAGATTCAAACATTGAACTATGAAGGAAAATAGCCCAGACGGCCATCAAAATAAGTATGACATTATTTACAACAAAAAAAATAAACTAATTAGGTATTCATAAACATGATATAATATATTATTGCATTCACCTAGTGGAAAATAGCTCAATAAGCCATAGAAGTCGCTTTTATCACTGAGCTTGGCATACGAATCATACCAATAAAGCCATATTAAAAATCATAAAAATATCCTGTTATATTTTTTGCTTTTCATATAGAAATATCTTCTTTTAATAAATTATAAAAAAATACTTCATATATTCATATAAATCATATTTAAATATAAAATAACTTTATTGAGATATTATAAGGCTAGATAGTTATATACACAAATTTTAACTTAAATTTTTTATATCAAATAGTAAACAAATTAAGTGTGGAAATCAGCATGATTTGAGAAAACTAAGATGAATCCCTTGTTCAACTCCCTTAAAAACTTAATTAAAAAAAATTATAAGTTCAACCACATCTTAAGCGATGACAATACTTTGTTTTTTTCTAAGTTTTATTTTCTTCTAAAAATATGGAAAGTGCAACACCCAATTTAAGCTTATCCAGGTAAAATTTGATCAATTTTAAAATACACCAAACTTTTCTCATCTCTCGACATTCATTCAAAATAATTTTTTTAAAATTCAACATTTTTCGAAATAAATTTAGTATATAACATTACGTATGAATTATAGATGTATTAGGATGTATAAAAAAATATACTATCAACTTAATTAATTACATTATTAACCTAAGTAACACTCTTAATCATCCTGTCACTGTAGCAAATCCACTTTGCAAAGCATGCAACGGCGGATGGGAGTGTGAATGGTTAAGATTTAAGTGTGAGTTAAAAAAGCGTATACATGTTTCGTAATTCCCATTCCCCTCTTCCAAATTCCTTTTGTCACAAGCCTCCTCGCCCGGGCACTGTGGCAAAATCGAATTGAGCGGGGCGGCCGCAACTCTCTGGTAAGAGTTCCAGGAAGAAAACCGTAAAGAGAATCCTCACATTCATACTATTTGCAACATTCCTTTCTTCCTTGCAATCTTTTCCAGTTATTTACTGCAAGCTGGAGCATTTCTACAATTCCAGCACTGCTGCTAAAGGCAGGAATAAACGAGAACTATATCTCGGGAAAGGCTGATAACAATAAATATATCAGAGAAAGGCAGGAAGAAGAGAAAATTACGGAATGAATGGAAGAAGCCATTAGGGAGGATTTATGCGGAGAAGCCATTTTGAAGCAATATTTGGCAATTAAATTATGTTTGAGGTTAAATTAAGACCAAAGCTAAAATTTCATGAAAATTCTAAGTATGATTCAGGATGGTTTACCATAGACGGTCAGCTCAAAGCAAGTTTGAGAAAACTCATCGCAGGGCTGCTCTGTTGATTGAAATGAAATATTATGAGTTAAATTAAGAATATATTTTTGACATTACTATATTTTTATTTTGCATATGATTGCATTCAAAAGCTTATGCATATTGTTGATTAAGTATACATGTTATATCAATGTAAGCTTGAACTAATACTGACGATATTTATGATTATACTATTTTATTGATCTGATAAGCATAATTATGAAATCATTATTTGCAGGTTTTCGTATACAGTTGTATATGCATGTGATAATGATTGGCCTATAAAGAATGATTGTTTCAGGATATGTTAAAGGAACGTAATAGGTGTTATCATTGGTAGGTTATTACATGAATTATCAGCATGTACCGATGACGGTAAATGATGAGATTCCCTGGGACTATTGATAATTATCATGTTTGGGAAGGGTCCAACATTTATCAATAATTATTTTAATCAGCGTGTTAGGTGATGACCTAATGACATAAAATGAAATGAATGTTATCAAATTCTATGCAATAACAAGTGATATTCCTAGGAAGATTGTTATTGATTATGAAATTATTATAGATATTCTTATGATTGCATAGGAATGAATGAAACTATATATATGTTGCAGTTGCTATTATTTATTGTATTTCATGCTCTTCACCTTAAATCTCACATGATTAAAGCATGTTTATTATATTTAATGTTTTCATGTATACGAGTTACAATATCACAAGCACGTTACTTTTTTTCATCTACAAAATTTTATTTTAACATTGATTAATTCACTGAGCTTTTAGGTACGTCTTCCAGAAATGGGTAAGGAGTACCGGATCGAATATTCAAGTGTAATAATATACAACTTTTTGATTGTATAATTTTAGAAGTTGTACAAGCTTTTAGGCACATCTTTTTAATATGTTGGATTTTTAATAGCACTAGATATGTTTTGATGTAAAAAATGGAGAGAGGTATATGACAGTCAACGTAAATTTTTTGTTGAAAAATCATGACATAAATTATTTAAATCCTTGTGTTAATGCTAGGGCATCAGCTGGAAGCGACGAATTGTATAGCCTAAATATACTGAAAAGTGAATAAGGTCTGCTACATTGGTACTCAAATGTAGTGCAAATAAGCAAGGGTTCCCACATTACGGATCAATGCGAGCAAGTAGTCCATGAAACTAATATTAGAATATGATCTTAGAATATAGGTTTTCTCACAGGTAAATTAATGAAATTAGTATATATTATAGTTCATAGGACAATGAATGTCTTATGTAATCAAGAAATTAAATGGGTTGATGGAAAAGCTAAAAAGATTAATAGCTTAGGTTTTAAACTTTGATATACAGGTAGAAGTCGCACTAAAAATGGTACAGGTGAAATTATATATAAGAGTTTGAATGATAATGTTCTGAAAATTAATAAAATTGGAGATTGAATTACATTCCTAAAAATTGTTGTTGATACTAAAATTTTTAATATTATAAGTGCTTATGTTTCTCAAGTAAATTTAGATATGAATTCAAAAGAAAAATTCTAGAATAACCTAAATGAATTTATATAAATGATAACTCCAGAAGAAATAATATTTATTAGAGGAAATTTAAATGGACATATTGGTAGAGTGGTAGAAGATTTTAGAAATATTCATAGTGGTTGAGATTTTAGAGAGATTAATAAAAGAAAATTGAAATATATAAGATATTGCTTTATCATATAATTTTATTACTATTAATATTTTATTTAAGAAATGAGATAAATATATTATTGCTTATAAGAATAGATCAAATAAAAAACAAAATGATTATTTTCTTTTGTGAAAAAGAGATCTTCGAGAATGTAAGGATTGTAAGGCTGCTATAAATGAAAATTTAAGTATTCAACATCGATTATTAGTTATGGATTTTAAGATAATGAGTTGTAAGATAAAAAATATAATTCACAATTACCATTGCATTAGATGGCTCACCTAAAAGACAAAATTATTTTTATAAGTAAACTCCAAAATTTCAAAATTTAGGATGTTCATGAATAAACTAATTCTGTTAGAATAAAGCAAAAAGCACTATTAAACAAGTGACAAAAAATTTGGTAGGAGAGTCAAAAGAAAAAGTTTTTATAAATAAAAATAGTGGGTGATGAAATAATAATGTGTAAGAAAAAATAAAATATAGGCTGTGTTATAAAAATTAGTTTGTATGCAAAAATTTAGAGAACTGGAAAAAAATATAAAGTGACCTATAGAGAATCTAACAGAATAAATTGTGACGCTAAAAATTTTATTCTAAGTGATATTTATAACATATTAGATACTAAAGAGAGTAAAAAATATAAGTATAAACTAGCCCAATAAAGAAACTTGTGTTAAGAAAGGCAGAGGTAGACCTAGGAATACTTGGGCTAATTGTATTAAAAATGATCTTAACTTACTAGAACTAAATGAAAATATGACACTAAATAAGACGCAATGGAGAAAAAGGATTCATGTAGCCGACCCCACGTAGTGGGATTAAGGCTTTGTCGTTGTTTTTGTTGTTGTTGTAAAGTGTATTAAAGATAAAATCAAGAAATATTTTTTTAAAGAAAGATATCGAACAAAAGTGAGCTTTTTTGATAAATTTTTCAATAAAGTTTCTTAAAATACGATAGACCATTCAACCTTAGTGATCTTAATATTATTAATAATAAAAAAATATTTTAATTTTACCATCGCATTAGTAAAATAAAAGTTGATGAGGCTTTAAAGAAAACTGATAATATCTCAATTGAACTGTAGAAAAATTTAGAAGGCTTGAAGTTTCTTGGTTTACTAAACACTTCAATATTATTTTAAAAACTAAAAAGATGCCTGAGTGGAGGAACAATATTTTGGTCCCCATTTATAAGGAAAAAAAATAATGCACAAGAGTGCAAATTATAGAGGAATTAAGTTGGTGTGTCATACTTTAAAATTATTTTATTGGAGGGTAACTGAACATAGCTTAAGACGTGATACAAAGA